TCAGTTCTATATCGTTTGGAACTAAAAAATAAATTAATTAATAAATCACTTTATTATTCGTTAGTAAGTTTTTTAAATGTTATTACTTAAAATCCAATTAGAAACCTAACTAAAGTACAGTTTCTAAGGTAACAGGATAGGAAGATCACCGAGGGGGTTGAATAGTTCTTGTACTCACCTTGCGTCCAACTGTAGACGTGTTTTTATGAGCCATATTGGATTTGTTGCTGTGATGGCTGTAAAACCTAAGAAGGGAAATATAAAGCAGGATTACGCTTCCAGAAAGGGCCATGACACTAGGGTCAATTTGATGACAATAGACTACAATCTAGTATCTAGGCAATATGTAAATGTTCTTTTAGAAGCTTCAACATCTGCAATATGTTACTTGGTTTAAACTTAAAAAAAAAAAAAAAAAAACTAACATTTTAAAAGCAACTTGGAGAAGAAATTCTAAACCCTTGATGGATTATGAGAGATGAGCAACAGATAACTGTACTTATTATTACTAACAGCTGTTAAAAGATCTTATCCAGGAAACAGGGTAAGAGATTAGAGGAAAGAAATTCTCATGAAGGATAGGAAGAACCAGACATAAAGAAGCACAGATCTGTGGTGAGTACTCACGCAGACCCAAGTAACTCCTCACACATGCAGCTAGAGACCCCTGGTGGTGCGGGGGTCTCATGCCCTTGCGAGAAGAGAGTTACGGTAGAGTAAAAGCCTAAAACAAACACAGGCTTGTGTGTAGCAAAATGACCAGCATGCAACCATTTAACTTCTCATTCTCCACAATATCCCACAGGATTTAGTTTGTCACAACCCCAATGATCACCCAACACAGCAGACAACAGCATGTGGGGCAGAGCAGCTGACATCCTGACAGTTAACCTATGTAGCTTCCCTTCCCCCTAAAAAGTGATCACTAACAAAATATGGAAGTACAGGTTACTGAACTTGTACAATACTTACAAATTTAAAGAGCTTCCATTTCATGGAAGAGAAAAAATGCTTTTTATACATTTTGACACTAATAGTTAAAAATTCAGTAATTTTACGTATTTGTTTCCAACCATGTTGTTCTCATCTAGGATGAACATTTCTAATATTTATGAAAATGCTATTAACTAGTTATGATAAGTGACTCATCACATCGTATCAGGGAAGGAGTCATATTTGGTCACAATGAAACATCTCCATCTTCTACTGCTTTATGGGGCCGAGATGGTGTAGGGGCAGCCGACTCGAGACCTGAAGGTCCTGGGTTCGATCCCAGGTCATTGCACATGTTGTGGTGTCTCTGAGCAGGACACCTAATCCCGAATTGCTCCCTGGGCACTTACATAGCTGCACACTGTGCCACCTGGGTGTATCTCAGGTGTGATGGATTAAATGCAGAGAGCCAATTTTGTCTTTGTATGGGAGCATACAATGATGACAACACATAGCACTTTATTTATCTGTAGTCGGGTCACAGAGGTGACAGGTCCAGGAGAGAAATTCCTCTCCCCATCGGCACTTTTCAGCTCTTCCTAGGAAACCACGAGGAGTTCCCAGGCAAGAGAAAACACTCAATCCCTCCATCGAGTTCTGGGTCTTGCCTGGGGTCTCCTACCAGCAGGACATGCCAGGAAAACTTCTAAAGAAATATGTCCTTGGAGCATCCTAATCAGATGCTCGTACCGCTTCAATGGACTCCTTTTGATGCGAAGGAGCAGCGGTTCTACTCAGAGCTTCCCCCAGATGAAGGAGCTCCTCACCTTAAGGAAAAGTGAGGCGCTCTTGTTAAGGAAGCTCATTTTGGGCCGCTTATATCCAGGATCTCACTCGTGAGGGCGTAGACGAACGTTTGGCTTACAACTCAACTCTTTGTCCACCACAGCCAACTGAAGCAACACCCTCATTACTGAGGACGAGGCTCCAATACGTCGATCCATCTCCAGATCCATCCTACCGTCACCACAGAACAAGTCGCCCAGATGCTTGAACTCTTCCACCTGAGGCAGTCACCCTCCTCTCCACGACTATGCCTTGTGTTCATAAACACCACAAACAGGATCAGGGACCAGGGACAGCCCTGGTGGAGTCCAACGCACACCAAGAACAAGTTCGACTTTGTGCCAAGAAAGAGAATGAACTAATCAAATCCTACCTCTGAAACTGCTCGTGACACCAGGATGGTCTTGGTATAAAAATGCAGATTCAAACGACAGGACTCTGAAAATGTGCTTGATGTAGTTCGACCAAATATGACTTACACACTGATTTGATGAGAGTCACGTGAAAAGACATTGTACAACTTTTAGCACTGATCAAGCTAATATGTACGTAGAATCAGTCTGAATAACATGTTAACTGTGAAGCTAACAGTTTTACTTGCAGCCACAACAGGACAGTGTTGTGCTAGGCAGCACTGCTGCCACCTCGACACCCCGTTAGTTCAGCTCTGGCAGTGGGAACACTAAATACTACTGAGGTTGTAAATGAGGAAAACGTCCTGACAAATGATGACCTTGACTGAGCTGTTGAAAGGTCAAAGTGGTAGTGTGGTTAAAGCAACATGGCCACAAACTTTAGTTCACACACAGCTACACACAAATACAGCTGCATGTATTTAAAGTTAACGGGTTATTTAGGAATATAAAGTATAAAGTACAGCCAAGAAAAAAAAAAAAGTCTACCCACTTTCAATTTTAAGGTTTTATGGACATATTAAAATAATCTGGCCTCTATTTAAATTTAACTTCAAGCGAGCAAAAACAGACATGTCATTATTCAATCAACAAAACCAACATGGAAAAAGTTATGTGGAAAAACTAAGACCACCTCAACAGCTTCTAGAGCCCCTTTTAGCAACAATGATGGTACTCGTTTGCATCAGCATCTCATATTGTTGTGGAAGATTTTTGGCCCACTCTTCTTTACAGCATGACTTCAGTTTAAGGAGTTTGTTTGCACTGATTCCTGCAGAGTGCTCTGAAGGTCCTGCTGCAGCAGCGGTGCCCACACTTTTTCAGCATGCGAGCTACTTTTAAAATGAACAAGTACAAGTAATCAACCTACCATCAAAATACAAAACATACTTATTTAAAAACACATTAAGTATGCTTTTTATGTTTTACGTTCTTGTTTTTAGTATTTTACCATGTTTTATATGGCACCTTGATCTATTGTTTTATAATACTACTTTTATTTTAATTACATTTTACTGTAGTTTGTTGTCTGTACTTTATATGTCGTTTGTCTAAAACAAGACCTTCTTGTAAATGAGTCCTTGTGACTCAGTGAGACTAACCTGGATAAATAAAGCTTGAATGAATGAATACGTCCCAGCTCGCTGTGGATGCAACATAAATAACAAAACCCAAAAGTTTGTTTAAAAAAAAAGTGACAATTTATTTTTTACTGTCTGTGTACAAAATAATTACAAAACCCAGCAATAACTTGTGTTTTTCACACAAAGGAACAGAAAACAACATATAAGCCATATAAGTTCTTTTTTATTAACTTTAACAGTTAACTTACTAACTGAGGCCTGTACAGTCTGAGATTGTGCTCTTGGGTTTTTTGTAAGTTCTCTGAGCGTTGCAGGGTCAGAACTTGGACTGAATTTGCTGGAACAGTTGCTCTTGGCTACGGTTTTAAACGTTTGTTGTTTTTTTTTTATCTGTGATTAAACTTACTCACTGTGGATTTTTTTCATAACCCCATTGACATCACAAATATCTCTTGCAAGGGAGGCCTGATCCTGAAGGCAGCCTAACATGCATGTTTTTAAAATGATCACTTAGAATAGTTTGGATTGTTTTAATGGATCCCAGATAGAGCTGTCATTTTTAACCTGGGCCCGAAGCCCGGCCCGACCTGGGCCATAGTAAAGTGCTGGATGTGTGGGCCGGGTGTGTGTCGGGCTTTTGATTGCGTCAGCGGATGCGCGCGGCTGACGATCCAATTATATGGCAACATGGCTCGCCATATCTTCACCAGCCACACGCAGCCATTGACAATGCGTTGACCGGCCTTGAAAGAGGTTAAAAAAAAAAGTTCATTTCCTCTTCAGATGGGACTATACTGCCAGGAAACGATCCATTGCCCGAAAGAACGTTCAGCCACTGCATTCAGCGGATGCACGCGGCCGACGACCCAAACAGGTGAGATCCCAAAGCAGACATGTCAGAGCAGGGTCTGTGTCTGAATAATGCACAATGCAGGCAGAAGCAGGAATTTAATGCTCTTTGATGGTCATGTAAGGACAAACACCCCCTCAGCGCCGATCTTCTGCCCCTTTCATTCAGCTGCATGCGTCCACTGACCGTAAATAACTATATAAGCAGTCAAAGCTTACCAGTAATAAAAATGTCTGTTTTTTTCAGGTTCGGACCTGTAATTACTATTAATGTGTCAGGTCGGGTGGGGTTCAGAAATGATGGCAACGGGCTGGGTCGGACTTTTTGGGCCCGAATGCAACTCTACTCCCAGAATGATGGGCAGCAGCAGTAGCTTTTCTAAGGTCATTGCTGCTGATGTTCTTCCTTGGCATTTTGTTAACCCACGCCTGTATGCTCCAGAGCAGAAAAATGTCAACATTTTGTTTCTTATAGAGATGGTCAGTCACAATGATGATCATCAGTAAATTGAGTGCATTTGATTAACAACACATGGCTTTTATACTTGCCCTCTAAAATCACATGGAAGAAGCAAGGGTGGACCTAGTTTTCCATCCCCACACATAACTTTTCCATTTTGGCTCAATAAGCAATATAAATAAATAAATACAGTCAAGGTGGAATCTGTTGACTGTTTTGTAGACTTGAGGAAACCCTAGAATGGAAAGAGGGTGGACTTTCCTTTTTCTTCACAGCTTTGTAGGTTGTAAAACTTTGCTGTATATTAATCTTACAAATCCTGTACAATGAACTACTTTTACTACTTTTTTGTTAACTACAGAACACCAACTTGCCTGATCTTGTAATGCTGCATCATGTAACAGTTTTCCAACAATGAACAAGACTAGGTCTAATTGCCAAAAAAAAAAAATCTAACCTGATTATATCAAAGTTCATGCCCAATAACCTGATTATAGATTTTGACAAACTCAAGTGAACAGAGGGGCATGCCAGTCTGTGAAGTCTGATTATACTAACCTGCCATTCCTGCCGAAGCCATGTGTACTTGTGTGGAGTCTGGTTCCAACACGCCATTCAGCTTCTCTTTGGCAGTGGAGTAAGCAGCAAAGTAGATTGCTCTGTTGAAAATAAAACAAATAGTTTACAAGTGTTACAACCCTAATGAGACACAAGTCATATGCCTCATTTTTGGATTTCTGTGTACAACGACTAATTAGTCTCAGCACTGGCCCTAAGTATACACACTACTGTTGAAGGGCCAGGATATTCTGATGAAAAAAATGAAACCACATGGGTGTTTTGTCCCTGAGACCGCCCGTCATTGCTGCAGCCTCTTGCTCAAATGCACTTAAGATATTACAATGATTTTCAGAAAAAGATGTGGCGTGAATTATTTACAACTCTGGTTTTACTTGGCCTGTCAACACGATTTAAAAACCAATGTGTAGTTTAAATTAGGAATGCGCGATATATACGGTACACCGTAGAAACGATAGAAATTTAGCTTACGATAGAGATCTGTCTTCTACCAGCTAACCGCAGTAATGCTGTGTATGATGTAAAATCAGAGTTTTCAGTTTAATCGTTACTTTTTTTAGTTGAAAACTGTGCGTAAGTGACGTTAAAGTCATTTCTTTGAGAGCTAAGTAGCAAATCTACAAGCTAACTACGGACGGCTTGCCGTAGTGTTGCCGTATTCGGACGCATGCGCAAAACGCTGAGTTACGTCAAAAGTTGTTTTTTTTATTTTTCCATCGAAAGTTAAAGTAGGCGTTGGTCAGCTTTAGAGAAACCTGCTCTCTGATCTGTGAAAAGAACGCTGTGTTGTGTGATTTTACTGCGAGACCCTCTGGTCAAAGCCACAGACTCATTTTGTGTCAGCTCTCCTTAAAGCAGGGGTCGCCCACTAGAGGGTTGGAGAGTGAAGTGTTTCAAAGTAAAATGCTGCTCTGTTGCTGTTCATTTCTTAAGTAAAAAGACTGGAAACTGTTAAAGAGTTAACAACACATTCTTTTGTTTAAAACATATGGCTAAAACTACATTTGATATATTTTGCACTACAAGAAAGAAGCCCAATACTTGATTTGTTTATTATTTAAAAACTCTCTGGACCTAGTAGTGGAATTTTTTTAAATTCAAAATATATGATGGCAAAAGGACATCCTATGCTTTTTAAAAATTCCTATTAAGTTTTATACCAAAAACATATTGCGATATACATCGTTATCGCCACCCTTGACAATACATATCGTGATATGAATTTTATGCCATATCGCACATTCCTAGTTTAAATGTGTTTAAATGATTTGTACTTTTTGATAAAGTGTTTCCCCTAGGTCACTTGCCTTGGGTGCTGATCTCTTCCGGGGGGGGCGCGCTGAGAGAATTGTAGCGCTACGCCTGCATTGCGCTAGCTTAATGCTATGTTAGTGTCGGCAGTTGTTGATGGGGAGAAATGTGTAGCGCTACTTTAGAGGCAGCATTTGTAACTTTGAGGTTTGCAGTCTGAGCTGCTCTGCTAATCTCCGCTCCCCGTCAGGAAGTGGTGGAGCAGAGTTGGGGGATTTGGTAGGCAGGGCGTTCAGTTCTGTTGACAGGGTGGGGCTCCCTCCTTGGATAATGGTAGGGGAAACACTGGCCAAAGATGTTTATGGTAAATATTTGTTGAAGTTGACTGATGAATAATAATGACAATAAATAAATAAAAATCATGCAAATGAGTTTGTATGGTTTAGTCCACTAAAAGAAAACCGATATGGGAAAATCGTTATTGGCCTGTTAGAGCTAGTCAAAAAGCAGATATTGGTATCGGCCCACAAAACCGGAATCTGTGCATTTAAAATCCACTTTGCACATCAGAACATTAATTTGACTTTAAGATTACATTCAGTCTAATTAGCATTAAAAATAATTATGTGGAATAGAGACGGAGGAATGCAGAAGTTTTCACAACAAACATTTTTCTCATACAAATACACCAATTGAGAGGTAGCACATATTTCATTCAGAGTAATTATATGTACTTGATTTCACCAAAAATTGTCCCAATAATACTTATGGCTTAATATAAATGTTTGTGAGGCTTTTTGTATCCTCCCTGACAGTGATGCAGTGCAGCATCCAGCTTGGCTCATTTATACAACCGTTTGTCTGCCAAGTCTCACTGTTAATGATGCTCGTCCATCATGTTAGAAAAGCTACATAACACATTTAAATTTGAATCTGCATAACAGCTGAGGAGGCCTCTTTGCTGTATACACAGTGGAAACAGCGTTCATTTACACAGGATGTTCCCTAAACACTTCACGTACACTGAGCAGTGGCACGTGCTTGCCTGAGCATTAGCAACAGCCCATTAGACCCAGCGTTCCTCATCTCATCATGACTGAGAGAAACACTGTAAAAGCTGTTGGTGCTTCCAAATTATGCTCCTGCTGTTGTCATGTTCCCCCCCAAAAAAACAATGTTGAAACTGGGGAGAGCGCCATGAGCATGAATGGCAACTTAGTGATTGTGGAGTTTAACGGTTCTTTGTTACCAAGTAACACTGAAAGGGACCTTGTAATTGTTACAGCTACACATGCAGTTGTGTCAAAAGTAACTTTGACCACAAACCAGTAACCCCCATGACTCAGAGAGGAACAAGCAGGTAAAGATAATGGATGGATCTTAATACAAAATATGTGGCTCGAGAGAAATGCATTCATTTAGCATTTTTCTTGGTCAAAATAATTTTATATTGTGTTTTGTGATTTCATAAGGAGGGAAATTGTGCAGTGTTGACAAAGCAATTTAAACCTGTGTTGTCCACATAACTATGAGTATTACATCTTGTTAAAAATACCTGATAATTTTGTAACTTCTTGTGAACAGGAGGGTATGGAACACCAAAATGCTCAAAATTATTTTAAAGTGTTATGAAATAAGTATCTAAGCTCATTATTATGACATTTTTTCATTTTTATTAATTTCATAATTGTGTTTTCCATGATAGCTTATTTCATAATGCCACTTTTTAGCAGAATGACTTCAGCTGTCAATCAGCGTCATTGGGTTGGACCTGCACGCTCACTGGCTGATCCTTCACATTCATTAGTTTTCCTGCTAACTGGTACAGCTAGCATAGCAGCTAGCAGTGACTTGTTATGTCAACAGTGGTAAAGTTGCATGAACTTCGTTCAGCTCAGGTAACTTTAGCAGATCAAACAGAGGATTACGTTCTCAGAAGATACTGGTGTGACAAAAAAGTGATGGGCTGCCAAAAATCTATTGTCGCCGCGGAAGCGCGCACAGGAGGACTCGCTGTTTTAGTTCTTTGAATTTAACAAGGTTAACACTAGCTGTACCAGTGAGCAGGGATTCAGGAAAACTAATGGATGTGAAGGATCAGCCAGTGAGCGTGCAGGTCCAACCCACTGACGTTGACTGACAGCTCAAGTCATTCTGCTGAAAAGTGGCATTATGAAATAAAAAAAGCCATCAAGAAAAACATGATTATGAAATAAAATAATAAAAATTAAAATTGTTCTTATTTCATAATGTTTTATTTATTTAATTTTGAGCATTTTGGAGTTCCATAAAATGGGACTCAAAATAGAAATCCTGTGGAAACCCCTTTGTGGGTACTTAAAAAATGTAAATGTCAACTGAGTGGTCAAAAAAATTTATTATGTCAATGTAAAAATAAGAGACAATAAAGCCACTTTGTCATTGATAAGTACGACTCGAGTCGATAATCGTCTCATCTGTCCTTCTCAGGTGTAGCTGATTTTCTTTTACCCTTTATTTACACAGGTAGTCTCAATGAGTCACGAGAACTCATTTTCATAAGACTTGTTTTTGGAAGCAGATGGTGGGGGTTAAGGGCCTTGCTCAAGGGCCCAGAGTGGGGTGAATGAGGGTGGAGGCAGGTGTGGGTGTTTCATCTTTTTCACCCACATTTTGATGTTGACAGTACCGGGAGCTGAACCTGCGACTTTCCGATCACAGGCCCATCTTCTCTAACCTCTGTGCCACCACTCCCCAAAAGGTCCAGGTGTAGCCATGCAGGACCATCACGTTTGATATCTTACGGTAAATTTGTTTGTTTCTTGTAGTGCTGTCCCACCCGCGTTGAACTCTCTGATCTGCCAATAAAGACAGGACGGTCTGGACCTCATCACTGGTCCACAGCACTATTCATGGAGTATCCATGCTGAACTCGAAACTTGAAAATACTAACTGAGCAAGTCATCCTGTGACATAGCTCCATTGGCCAATCAACGGCTGCATCAAAATTGGCCCCTTGGAGCAGTTCGCTTGGAACCACACCTGGCTGAGTGGGCGTGGGTACCGGCAGTGGGCAGGACCTCAACTGGTGCGGTGTAGAACCAATGAGTGTAGAAACAGTGGCAAAGTGCTGTAAGTATGGTCCCTAATTTGATGATTTTCATCAAAGTTGGGACAATTTCAAGAAAATTATTTTGTTTGATTACTAAGAAGTAACAGTCAGAGATAAAAATAAATTATCCTTTATCAACAGAATCGCATGTGGCATATTTTAATATATCCGTCTTTCTACGGGTGTGCAATAAAAACATTTTTGAGCCAAGCTTCATAATGTGATATTTTGTAATCATATTTATCAAAAACACTTGTGGATAAAGAGTTAAGTAAAAATTAAACATGTAGACCGTATCACGTTAAACTGCACTGTAATGGAGCGTTTCAGTTTTTCATTTCATACTTTACTAAGAATAATGTGTTAAATATGAGAGAGGAAGGAAATTACCTGGAAGGTGCCACACCCACTAAATTTGGCCCCAAGCCCCTGAAAAGAGAACGAGGTCCCTCTTTCTCCAATATCAGCCTGGGAAAACAAAAACACACATTTAAACAACCTTAAATCACAAGTTGGCTGAACATTTAATCAACAGATCACACTGTTAATTATGGCTTGTTCACCAGTGAAGCAGGTGCTCTCTCTTTTAGGTTAATGTTGTTTTTAAACAGATGTTTGCAACAGGCTACAAGAGTTAGCATGTTAGCCCACAAAATATATACAGCCACTACTGCAGGTTCACGATGGAAGCTAATCATTAGTGACAATAATTATGTTAATAGTTAGCTGACTAACAAAGTCCATGTTCAATAATCCAGGTATACAATCCAACAATTTTCAGTCAGGTCATCTTAGCACCAGCATAACTGGTTTGTTCCACTTTGGAGTAAGCTGTTTGGGGGAAGAATCAGTTTTGTGTTGTGTGTTTCCTTGACTGATGAAGCCTTCTGGATGGAAGGTGAAACGTTTCAGCACAAAAAAAAAAAAAACCTGTCCAGATGACCTGACTGAAAATTATTGGAGTTAGCTGATTACTTTACAAAAGCAGAACAGCAGAGAAATGATATAGACAGAATTACTTTATCATGATAAATAAATATAAATAAAACAGCCTGTTGATTCTGATGTTAACTAATGAGTTATTAAATTAAATATACATTTTTAATTTATTTTTCATGCTTGTGTTTAAATTCAAACTATAGCCTTCAGATTAAAAATGATCATAATTATAAATGTTATAATACTACTGCTGATAGCAAAATGGTTTAAATCCAGATTGAGTTCAGAAAAAGATGACACCGACTTAAAACGGAGTGAGTCAACATGGTCACGTGTTTTTTTTTTTAAATTCACCTTATTTACATCTGTCCAATCAAATAAAATAACTAATAAATAGTCCATCCATAATTTTTCAGTGTTTGCTTAATATTCTCATCCTAAGTAACTTTAAACCAAACGTCTTGTCATAACTGACATCATAGCAGTTCAAGCTTGGTTTCCCAAAATGTTTGACTAGAAAAATAATGAATGATGCTCTTTGATTTCTCAGCTGTATTCAGCACCATCCGGTTGCAGCTGCTTGGTGAGAAGTTCAAGAGAATGCAGGTGGAGTCAGAGCTTGTTTCCTGGGTGCTGGACCAACCGACAGCAAGACCAGTGCATGTGTGGCTCCTACACTGCGTGTCTGACGCTGTTCTCTGCAGTACAGTGGGCCCACAATGAGCTGCAGTTTCCCCTGCCATTATCCAAGCAGGGCGCCCCGCCCTGCCTACGGAAAGTGAACCCAACTCGATTTATATGAACGGATATTAGAGGAACTAATGTGTGTTCAAGTCTACCTAAACAGTAGAGTTTTGAAGTTGTGTTTTAAGAGGTGGTTAGTTTTGTCAGAGAGACACTGGTCACACTGAACAATACGACACAACACAATGCAAACAAAAGACTGAACAACAACTCTGGAGTCAGACATTTTTGAGAGTGCTGGTGGCAAAAACTAAGCCCGACTATAGCTCAGCCCAGTTTTACTTTGACTTTAAACAATCTTGACCGGCGCACAAAACAATGGCACAGTTGTATCAATGTAGAAAAAAACTAGTCTGCATTTATAAGTCTAACAGACAAATTGAGGTCAAGTACCCACCTGAGACAGTGCAAGGGGCCTGGTGGAGATATTCGGGCCACACTGGCCCCATTGACAGTACTTAGCTGAACCTCAGACACATAAAGCGTGATGGAGGATGACTGCAGACGAGTCTTCACGACTTCCAATGGACAAGTCAATATGGCTCCTACCGTACCCCCACATCTTGCACAAAGACAGAGATGGACATGATGAAGATGAGACAGCAACAATATGTCTCAAGCAAAGACTGACAGGTTTAGGACTTTAAAGAGTTTTATTTTCAAATGGTTTCAAAAGTTATCTGATGTTTAGCACAAACAAACCAAGCAGTCAAACAAATAACTAATAAATGGTTCCACATTTTATATTTATTCAGAACAAAAATAAACATTGTGACATGGTAACACGGGTTATTTGTGAAACTTTAAAAAAAGAACAATTTTATAATGCTTTATAGCAAAGGCACACTATAATAAACACTCACGACAAGCAAAGCTCCTCCATGTCTACATCTCTAATTTATCTATAGCTTCGTTATGGCAAAAGGTTTTTAGAGAACAGTTGTTGTTTCTGCAAATTTGAAGCAAACTTTAAATTTGTTTGTCTATTTCTAGAACAATTATTATTCATTTCAAAGCAAAAGCAACTGGGTAAATTTACAGAAGTCTCCGACTTAAATAAGACTGATGAGTCCAAAACAATATTGACATAAATAAGCTAATCCTAGGAGGCCCGTCCTGGATAGGGCGAGACTAGGAGGATGAGGAGTTATCTCTCCTCTAAGGTTAATTTTCAACCTGAACCAAAGCAAAGAGAGAAAGTCGTGTCAAAGCAGTCCTTGGCAGAAACATGCTAAGAGAAGACATGTGGCTTCTGTACATGCCTAAGAGAATACAGACACTAAAGTAGTCACGGCGTGTCCACATGCGTTTGTTTTAATTTGCTCCATCACATACACAACAATGAGAAAAGCAGTTAGAAAAATTATACATCACTTGTTTGCCTTTCTTATTACCAGTGCGTTTTTATTAAAAGTACAATGTTAAACCATTACGAAAGCTCAGTTTTAACTCAGTTTTCTGAGCATAGTCATCCTCAAAATGTGATTTTGAATGCGTGTGTACACACACCCAGATGAAATGTTAAGGACCTAACATGTCTGAGGTTACCACAAATAATGGTTTATTTACAACAGATTTAAAACAGCTTCATAAATAGGGTATTCACATGTTCTAGGAATCATTTAAAAATGCAGGTATAGACACTCCATATTTAGCAAGTCTAGTACTACACCTTTTTCCACTCGCATCAATCAAATGTAGTGCTAATGCTAACCTTTCTTTAATCTAGATAAAGAACTGAATTTACAAATGGTGCTGATGGTGAGTCACTGTTTATTTAAATACACACACTGCGCCTGCTTCAATGTATATACAGTATTTTATATGCGATTGTTAATGCTTTGGAAAGTGTCTTACTGGTGGTTATTATATTTATAAAGTATTGATAAAACTCAATATAAATGGACCTTTATTGAAGAGCGGTACAAAGTATTGTCGAGGTTGCTTATCAAAGTTTCATACTGTTCTTTAAATTTATTTCTACAATGGATGTAAATTGCTCTAGTAGAACAAAGATGTTAACAACAATTATATATTTTTAGTGTTTTAAGTCCCTGCTCGAACAGAGTCGAATCATCTCATTTTACTCTTGTGGTTTGTGTCGACATGCCCCATTTCCTGAGGCTGTGAGTGAAAAGTCTATCAAAAGTTATTTCTTTCCACGTTTGCAGAGAAATGTTTTGTCTCCAACTTGAGCAAAATGTATTTAATACTCTGCAGCCTTGGTGGAACAGGGCAGCGGGATGTGATGCACAGCAACAGCAGAAAAAAGATCACTACGTTTGATTTAGCCTTTAACGTGGAAATGCACAGGATTATGATGCATTATAATACACCGATGTCACAGACACATCGTTGGCTTTTTAATTTTATATTTGATAGTTTAACTCACAGAGACTGATGGAAAATGTTACTGCCACAACGACCCGAATGCTCGATCACTAAACTACCATTTTCATTCATATGTAATGTCCGACACATTCATGCTTCATCTTAATTGTTCAGTTATCATTGCGACACGGACAAGTTACCCGGACACAAAACTGCAAATATCCCTGAAATGAATCGCTTCACCAGCTAACGCCTGTTAGCATCGAGCGAGCAGCTAGCTAGCTTCAGAGAATATACTCACCCTCCAGCAAACAGATGAACTAAGGTGTCTCTTTGACTCATTGTGGATCATATTCGGAAACCGTTCGCGGAGCACCAAGCGAGAATAACTGGTGAGGCGTGGGGTGAAGAGAGAGGGGAAATACGACCCCTTAAAGCGAATAAATGCCCCTCAGTGCGCGTCTGTTGTGGTAGAGGTCAGCTGCGTATGAGAAACGAGGGAACAGCTAACTTAGCTAACTCGCGTTAGCTGCCAAAGCTAACTGGTTTCCGGTGCTAAAGGTAGATGTTGGAGTGCCAGCTCGATGTTGTCTCCTTTCGAAACGGGACAGTGTTTCACCACAGTGTGCCTAACTGCAGTTTGGGATTAAATCCAGTCTTGAGGCAATACGAGAGCTGGGGACTACTTCTTGACCTCCTCACGTTGGCTTGTTTTGCTTCTCAGAGTGCTGCGGGGTCAGGTCGCGATGTTTATTGTCGAATGGGAAGGCGCCAAACAGTGGACGTGATTGGCTGAGGGATCCCTAGAGCCCGCCCCGTCACTTTCTGTCACGTGACAGTTTCTTTTATTTTGAAGGGCAGAGATAAGGACGCGCGATAAGAGAAGTGAAAAAAAAGAAAAAGGTGATTTAAAATAAATCAATGACTAAAGAAAATAAATTAAAATTAATGACATGACCAATTTGACCAAAATTTAAGTTCAAGTTCAAGTACACTATCTTTATTGTAATTCGCATAAAGTGGTATGAGTTGGAACGAAATGTGTACACAGGATCCCACTTACATCCAAAATAACAAAAATATAAAGTAGAAAAAGAAACAGTATATATAAGGATATAAGAGATACACTAAGATATACGCTAAACAAATGCTAAACATATAAGATGTATGCTAAACACTAGCAATTATTAAAATCATTAAATCAGCAGCCGGAACATGAATACAGCAGCATAAAAGCATGAGATCAGCAGCATGGATAATCAGCAGCACAGACAAGTCACATATCACCAATTAAAGTGGCATTACAGGGATAATCCTTATTAGGGATTTATGAGTCTAACAGCCTCAGGGCAGAAGCTGTTCCTCAGTCGAGTGGTTCTACATTTAATGCTCCTCAACCTCCTTCCTGAGGGGAGCGGGGCAAAAAGTGTGTGTGCTGGGTGAGTGAGGTCCTTCATGATGCAGGTGGCCCTCTTCCTGCATCTGGAGGTGTAGATGTCTGTGATGGTGGTGAGGCTGACTCCAACAGTCTTCTGTGCAGCCTTCACCACTCTCTGCAAATGACTGCCACCTGACCTTAAGAAACGCAAAATAACAACAATTTAGTCGATTTTGACCTGAAATCTGATTTGGTAGTTGCTGAGAGAGATTCCTAACACATTCTGAGTGCTAACAGATTGTGCAAGATCTTTGTTTACCGTTTTGCTTTCAACAATTTGGAGACAGCACTGTCTGTTAACAAAATATCTCAAAGAGTGAACATGTTTTAATAAAACTTTGAGAAAATAATCATTAAATGTATCTTTACAACTGATAAAATCTGGATCCAATCCAACTCAGCAATGGATTCTAGAAAACCCCAAAATGACAAATTTAGTCAGTTCTACAGATACATTTGTTGTGGTCATTCACAACATGTACTATATGTATTACTATGAAATAAATAAACCTTACAAGATTTTGCATGTGATCACGCAGAACATCATTGACAAAGTTTGACCAAAAAACTGTTCCTTCTCAATATAAAATGATCTTTGTTTAAAATTCTCACATGAAAGGCATCAGATGATATTCTTAAACTCCTACAGGAAACCCATCCTTGAACCACTGGACCGACTTAATGAAACTCTCAGAAAGTAAGTGTTAGACGTACATCTACAAATGATTGACTTTTAGAATCAATTCAATATTGTTGTCACAGCTAAGTGATATTGGTCAACACAAAAAGTCTTATAACTGACAGTCAGTTTAAGAAATATTAAGCTAAAACTTGATGTAGCTGAGAGGCATAATGTGAGTCTGACACCTCACAGTTGGGCATTTTATTTTCAAGGTCTGACAATAACAGCTACAACTCTGATTTCACAATATACAAGCTTAGTTGAAAACTCTGGCATTAAACGTAGCGGGGGAAATGCATTTCTTCAATTTTGTTCTACAAAGTATATCAGCAGTTAAATCTATAAACAAATACCAATATTAGTTGGTAAAATGCATCACAAAAAAATTGCATCAAAGAGGCTGATTCTTGGGAATTATTTGTAACATATTTGTAAACTAAATGAATAATAATAATAAAATAATTTTAGTTGTCCTACTCACAGACTGAAAGAATCTCAAACTTTTTAGATTATTGTTACTTAAATATTTATTAATAACCTCTTTTATAATTTTATAATTACTATGGGCACCTAATTTTTTTGGTAGCGGGGGAAATACAAGTGAGGGTAGAAAGTCAAGTTTATACAGAAATTAAAGTTTTCTAATCTGGACAAGTGAATGAGAACCACAGTCTTTTAATTTTATTATTACAGTTGCTTTTCTAACCTTCCAGACCACGTGCCACTGTTTCCTGTGTAATTAGATTACTGTCTGAAGAGGAAAAAGGCACGACAGTTGACTACTGAAGTCACTATTTTGGTTTTGTACATTTTCTTCATTTCATAGAAAAACATCCAAGTCTTGGTGCAGACAGTAGCCACCATCAGACTCTTCCAGTATAAAGTAGTTAGACAGATGTTGGGGGCTGTGGTTGTTGGGTGGCCCAGGATGCATCAGGAATGGCATTCGGCATAAAACAATTGCTAAATCTTTTGTGCAAAGTTAAATCTTTGAAGCAACCTTGAAGAAAAGAGTAAGTGAAAGAACAAAAGCAACAACATAGACATAGACCGACTTCTAATTTGGTGTGTTGCTGCCTCTAGGTGTAAAAAAGGGCACTTCTGAAAATCAGGTTGCCATGTCAGAATCCAAATTGATCACACCTATCATTTGAGGAGACTATGGCCCTGTTTACATGAAAATGATTTCTGGTGGAAATGGAAGAACTTTCATTTGTACTGTTCATTACACGAAAATAGCAAATCTGACAATATGCTGGTGAAGATTCTCAGTCATCCAGGACATGATGAATTCAAAAATAATAATAATAATAATGTCATCACAATGTCAGCACTGTATGTTTCCATACAATGGCGAAATTAGTCTCTGCATTTAACCCATCCACCACCAGGTGGTGCAGTGGGCAGCTATTGAAAGCGCCCGGGAGGCTTTTTGGGGATGAGGTGTGCTGCCCAAAGACACCACGTGATGTGCAGTGACTGGGGATCGAACCTGGGACTTTTGGGTCCCAAGCCAGCTGCCCCAAAAAGTGTTCAATACAAAAACAACTGGACTTTATTTGTAACAGAAGACGTTTCACTCCTCATCCGAGGAGCTTTCTCAATTTAAAGAGCAGAGAGTGAGAGATTCAGGTTATAAGGCTGAGTGAGATAAGACACACACACATTTGTAGATTGGCAATTCACACCTAAACAACCTTAACAGTAAGAGTCTTTTGTTCCTCTAATTCTCAGACGAGGCCCCTCTGTTCCCATCAGGTGTGAAAACCGGCTGGGAATCTGTTTTAAAGTTGCATTATAGGTTTTTGAAAGTGGAAATCTGAGGCCTCCTCTGTTAAGAGACGGCTTTTCTCTTTTTACATAAATTGCCTCCTTCACCCCCCTCTCAAACCATCTGTGTTCTCGGTCCAAAATGTGCACATTTTGGTCCTTAAAAGAGTGTCCCTTATCTGTGAGGTGGAGGTGAACAGCTGAGTCTTGTCCTGAGGAGGTGGCTCTCCTGTGTTGAGCCATGTGTCTGTGAAGAGGCTGTTTAGTTTCTCCAATGTAGAGGTCTGGACAGTCCTCGCTGCACTGGACCGCATACACTACACCACTCTGTGTATGGGTGTTTTGTCCTTAGGGTGGACCAGCCTCTGTCTGAGAGTCCTGCTGGGTTTGAAATGTACTGGGATCTTGTGTTTGTTGAAGATCCTTCTGAATTTCTCTGATACTCCAGCAACATAAGGGATGACAATGTTTTTACGTCTGTTGTTCTCCTTTTTCTGTTTATTGGTGTGTTTTGTAGATTTCCTCGCTGACTTGACAAAAGCCCAGTTAGGATATCCACATGTTTGAAGAGCTTCTTGAATGTGTTTCTGTTCCTTTTCCTTCCCTTCTGTCTTCGTGGGGACGCATTCGGCCCGATGTTGTAAAGTTCTGTTGACAGAGAGTTTGTGTTCCAGTGGATGGTGGGAGTCAAACAGAAGATACTGGTCTGTGTGGGTTGGTTTTCTGTAAACTTCAACGTTGAGGCTGTCCTCTCTCTCCATCTGAACCAAACAGTCCAAAAAAGGCAGTTTGTTGTCGTTTGCATCTTCTCTGGTGAACTTGATGTTGTTATCAACCGAGTTAATGTGTCTGGTGAACGCTTCTATTTCCTTAGCTTGGATTTTGACCCAAGTGTCATCCACATAACAGAACAAATCTGACAATGGTACAATTTGAGAACGGGCACCAGAGTGCAATGGTCCAAAAACACTCGCTCGTTCATTGTTGTGTAAACAGAAAAAATAGATATTTTCTGTTTTTTTATATATATTTTTTTTGCCTCAGCAGTATGATGCAAAACAAAACAGTTTCCTACATTCCACAGAAGAAGAAACTACCGACAATGGTGGATACCAGAGTAATGTTTGTGCTTCTGACTCATATAAATGTAACGACGGCTCTCCAACACAGTGCTCATTTTATATCCCTTTACTTAAATCATCAAAGACGGATCTCATACAGCTCCACTCTGTTACTTAACGGATGTATGCGAAGAAGACACACAACTAGGAGGCGCTACTGGACATGACCTGGGAGGACAAGCCAGTGGTGGGTTAACTTTGTAAACAATGTAGTCGATGAGAAAGAATGGAGGGAGAACTTTAGTTTGTCAAAGCCATCTGTTGTCGCTTTGAGAGAGAAACTTCACACCTACATCAAGGGGAAATGGACAACTATGAGATTGCCGATTGATGTCTTAAACAAGGTGGCCTGTTTATTATTTAAGTGACGAGAGAAGAATCCAAAAAAAAAGCCGCTTTCAGTTTGTCACGAGCTGCTGTGTCTGTTATCATCAGAGAAACCTGTTATACCATCTCTCTTAACCTGGGTCCAAAAGGAATCCGATTACCAATTTAAGTTTCAAAGAACATAGCACCAACTACTGGCGTGGCAAAGGAATTACACCTTTTCCACTAGTACCGTTACTGTGTAAACAGAGATTGTAATTACAACGTTTTCATGTAAATGCGTTGATAGAATGGGAAAAAATTCTGTTTTTATTGGATCGTTGCCATGTAAACAGGGCCTATGTTTATTAGTTTTTGTATGCTGAAAGTATGAAAACTGAACA